TATTAAACCAATTACCTCACTGTCAATTGATTTTCTAATCTGTAGAAACAACCGTGCATCATCTCTTGACCAAACTTGTTTAGTTCCATTGGTGGGAGGATCTTAAATCAAATGATCATTTTTACCAATACAGCGTAGATAAACCCTGATAGTTTTGTTCCACTCCAGATAATTTGTGTCATTTAATTTATGTTCAGTGATATTTGACATGGCTGGGGCTATCTCACTAAGAGAGAATTTGTTATCACCCATTTTAATTCAGAATATCGAAAAAATATTATCCAAAATACTTGACCACAACAGGTAGGAATACATGAAAAACGCTGCAATTATACCAAAAATTCTAAGAGAAACAAAGTACTTCTTCACACACAGAAACTAACAGAAGCACACTACCAGCACCGGAAAGTGACTGTCGCCGCACGCACCACCGCCAGAGTTCACACGCCGCCACCGGAACACCACGAGCCGCTGCCGAAAATCACCGAAATGCCTCTGTTCGGCTGGAAATCACCATAGACCCCACCGGACAACCAAAATGCAGAAGGGGCTCCCAAAAATACCTCAAATCGCACTGGAAAACTGAAGAACACTTGTTGTCGCATGATTTGCTCCGCGCCGACTTCCTCTGCTCTTACCTTCTGGTTTCTCACTCAGAACAGGTCAGCCGAATGTTTATTCGTGTTCTGACCTAGTGCCAAACTCTTCCCGCACGCAAACCGGCTTCCTCCGGTTCACTCGACACCTGATGACTTGGAACCACCGGGAAGCAGGTTCATCTGCCTCTTCCGCGTGCGCCAGCATACCGACTGCAATCTGAACTGGTTGGAGGATCGTGGTTGACTTCCTCCGGTGCCAGGAATGGGTTGTTCAACCCTTTATGTGGTCTTGATCTAATCTGACCTCAAAAAAAATCCTAACCCTATCTCTAATACCAAGTAAATTTTAGAAAAAAATAATGAATATTTCTTATTTTTTATTGAAATGGTAGTAGCGATATATATACATGTAAATAGAATCATATATGGTAACCAATATAAATTACCCAATTAATTTCTTTACTAATTAGTTTAATACATTTGGAAACATAATCAACTTATTATGTATATAGATCTTCTATAATATTCTAACAGTTGTCAAGAGATGTTTATTTGTATCAGTTGACATAGTAGAATTGTCTCACAGATTTCGGGCAAATAACTAAAGGTGGTTGTTGCTTGGATGGTTAGATCAAGCTCAACAGTGGACAACTCAAGGATGAACCTTGAGAGTCAGATAAATCCAATCTAGAACCTCAAGGGCAAGGAAATAGAAGACTACAGATCAACACCTTAACCGCTAACCTGACAAGAACAAGGACCATTAACATTACTGATTAATAATTTCAAAAAGATAAGAAATTTTTTTTTAAAAAAAGCTGATGCAGGACAAAGTAAGAATTTTCTAAAAGATTTAGGGTCACATATTTTGTGGTTATCAAGTTTTCTCTCCTTATTTAAGTCGAATATCTTATTCTACAGTTTTATCTTTTTCATGATTAATTAGAAAATAAATCATATTGAGATGTTTTTAGGATTTTATTTCCCCTTTTAATTAGATTTGCTTTTCTAGCATTAACACTACCCTAAAAGTAAAAGAAGAGAAACAACATTGCCGTTGGCAGTTCTTCTGGATTAAATAAAATTAAAGTGCAGTAGCTAATTTTAAAATCATAGTACATTAGAAAATCTCTTTTTTTTCCTGGTTGTTATGCCAGGAAAATCAACTATTTCCTTTCTCTCTATCTCTATTTATGCTGTGGCACTTGCTTAGAACTTTAAAATATAAGTATAAACAAGTAATAACACAATCGTGTGCCAGTTAACACTTTGTTATGCCACCAAATAAACCACCACAAGCATAAGATTTAACAAAGAAATATAATGGTAACTGATAAAGAGAACAAAATATCAATCTATGATATTGCTAACCTTTCAACTGGAGCCCATGCAACTGCCCTAATAGGCACTGTGTCTGCACTGAAACAAATCAATGGTCTTGTATCTGCAGAGGACAGCATGGCATGATCCTAGTTCTTAGAAGAAAATCATAAGGAAAGGGTTAACAGAAGTGCGAAATCTCAGTTGTCACCTTCTGATAAACTGCGTCTAGAGAACTTCCATATAGCAACCTAATGCACACTATCCTTGTTAGTTCTCACAACATTACAAATAAAAATGAAATAACCAGGTCTTATGATGAATAAGGAACTGAATTCTGTTACCGTTCCATCATGGCAACCAGCAAGCAATAAATCAGGTTGAGCCAAACTTGACCATTCCACTGTCAAAGGAATGCTTTATAGCAAAAGTGACATCGAAATTAGGAAGAAGTCGAACAAGCCAAATTGTATTTAAGGTCAGTAAGGTGCTTGAGGTCATTTACAGAAAAGCAATGCTTATTGCGAAAAATAAAACCATTTAATATATTTAGGTTGTGGAGATTAACAGTTCATTGAACAATTTTTCTAAAGCCATATTAAGCTCATATACAAAAAGTCTAGGTGGAGTTTTTCTCTCATTTTTTGGCTTAAAAACTTCAACTAATAAACAAGTGCTTAATATTTGTGTTTCCAGTCTACTAAATGGATCAATTGTGTTGATGTGCTTATCAAGGAGTCTATAAACAACTCCAGAAATCGTCTACAAAAGCTAAAATGGCAAATCATAGAACACATTATCACTGTATAAGATTTTGTGACTAGATGACTAGGTCTACGACAACAATTAAAAATCAACAAAAACCAACATCCAAAAAGAAATATATCCAGGAGCCTGTAGCACCCCGAAACCCTTGTGTTCAAATGCAGTGTTTTTAAACTCCATGTTTTTTGGGCGTTACGGTTTTTAACAATTAATTTAAATATCGATCGGAATTTGAAATTTATTTTGCTTGTGCATATTTTTAGTTTAAAATTTTTCATTTTATCAATTTAAGGATTTTATTTTATTTTATTTTATTTATTATTAATTTTTGTAAAAAATTATTTAAATCTTCAAAGGAAAATGAAAGAAATCGGAAAAAATGGAAAACGGTGGAGAAAACCCCTGTGAACCACGGAAAAGGCCTGCGAGCCTGCAAGCCCGCGTGCCTGTGCATCCGCATGCACACAGGAGGCAGACTGGGTGCGTGCCTGCACGCA